CAGAATTCATAGACAATCCCCAAGCATACCAAAAAATTTCATTTACACCTCGACTGAGATCATGATTAATAGGCCAGCAAACATTTGTGCAAAATGTGCCTATTAGACATGACTTTGCTATGGCTGAGCCAGGAATTTTAAAAAGGGAATTCAAAAAATTCAAACCTGCAACCTAAAGCAATTTTTGAATTACATTACCTTATGTCAAAAGGATTCAAAAAGGTAATATATGCACGAAAAAACTAATTTTTGCCCTATTTACTCAGTATAATTTTGTCACGAAGGCGATTCAATTGAAAACCCCTCCTTGGCTGATGATAGATCGCGCGTATTGCCAGAAAATGTGGAATTTTCACTGAAAAAATGAATTTCCAGACATTTCCGGAAACTAGTTTTCTTAAACTCATTTCTTTTTTCCAGATTCAAATTCCATTTTGCAGCACATATACACACAACTAATTTCCAGAAACTGAGCACTACCGAAGTTTCCACATAATTTAACAAATCTCACTCCCTCATAGTTTCCCCTCACAAATTCTTAAAATGCAACATTTGCCAAAATTATCAGAAATCTGCATAATTTCACCTCTGCATCGTAGTCATTAACTATATGCTTCGTGCTCTGATACTATAAAATCTTATTCAGAAATAATATTAGTATAAAAATCTCAATTAGTTATAGGGTTTTACCACTTCTCTCTCTCTCTCTCTCTCTCTCTCTTTTTCCCCGCTTCATTTTTATAAAGCATGGTACTCAGTGTCTGTTATAGTGAGTCCATTTTTCTTCCTCCCACCTACTCCTCTCTTCATTTTTATTTTTGTCCATTTTCTCCCCCTCTTTTGATTGCCTAAAAAGCATTTGAAGAAGAACAAGCTGGTGTGTATTTTGACCCTTTTTTTGTTTCTTTCTGTTGAATCCTTTTATTTTTAATATTGGTCCTAATACCCCATGTCAAAATCCTGTAAAAGAGAGAACTATTTTTCTACTCCCAAAAACTAGCTGTAGCAACTAGCAACACCCGAACCCCTTCCGGCATGAGTTAAGGCAAAGGAGGGAAGAAAAATAATGAAGAAAAATGTATAACAAAATTAAAATAATAGGGGATATATTGTTGTAGTAAAAAAGCATTTTTAATAACAAAGAATGTCACGTGGCAAAAAATCACTAATTTGGACTCTTTTTTTGGTTCTCAGCACTCTTTAGTATAAAATACTCTGGGTCGTTTGCTAAGATGCATTAGATAAAATAATGTATGAATCAACTTTATATATTAATAATAACTTGTTTGATATACTTTTTGAATCTATACATTAGTTATACAAGCACTAGTTATGCATCCTTTGGTATTATTATATGCATAACTAATGCATTGGAAACCATGGTATTAACAACGTAACAGGTATTAATGCATGCATTAGCTTAGTTAAAGTTAAAATTGCCCTTCAAAGTTTATACTTGATTAAAATATGTTATTATATTAATACAAATTTGATACTGAGATTGTTCCACCTATTTATATCTATACTCTACCAAGTTCTTCATTGTAAATTCATAAATATATACTCTACTACTATGTACTATAATGCACTTGTAATCAACTTATTTTTCTTTTATTTTTTTAATTCAAACTTTCTTTGCCTAATAATCCAAGAAAGTGAGAAATAAAATTATATCCCTAGTAGATAAATTAATACTTAGTATTTTTTTTATAAATAAATATTCAATTATATACTACAATACATGTAGACAAATCAAATAATTTTTTAAAATATTTTTCATATAAAAATATTCCTCAACGTATTTCTTTAAAAAGATAAATTGATGGACCGGTTATGAGGGTATTTTTATAAACAAATAATTCTTTTAGAAATTATTTAATACTTTAATACATTAAATCAAACAATAAATAAAAAATATGTCAGCATACTTAATTAGGAGCCAGATGGCACAAAAAGGTGGTATTAACACTTAAAATTAGTTGAAGGGTCAATATGACAAGTTTTGAGATTGTCTCAGGATCTTGTCATATGTAAACTTTACCATTTTATATGTTAATAAAATGACATTGTAGTATAAAAATGGAGAATGTATTAAAATAAAAATAGTAAAAAACTCTATAGCAAAAAAACAAAAACAATGTTTGGGAGTTAGGACGATGTTAATTAGGAGTATAACTCTATAGTATAAGGTAATAAACTAACCAAAACAAAAGAAAAGTAAAACACGAGTGTTATCTACAGCTAGAAAAGAAACTGTTGGGACAGAAAATCCTATTGTACCGTTTGAGAAGTGGGGAATGAAGGCGGAAGAAATAATTCTTAAAGATTCTAACTTCTAAATTATATTTATACAATTATATATTATTAAATAGTAAGTAGTATGCTATAACAATTTAAACTATAATATGAAAATTAGTGTAAAGTATATAACTAAAGTCAATGATAATTTCTAGGCATGCATATGGGCAAGAAAGATTGGAACCTTGTCCTTGAGAAGATCTCTGTTCAGGACATCAGCTAAAGACCAAGAAAAAATCACATCTGTCAAGCCTGGAATAATTACTCCTCCTGTTTTTTCCCTTATTCGAACACCTTGTCCTGTTTTCTCTCTTGCACCAACACATTCCTCTTCTTTGTGTGGAACAATATTTTCTTGCTTCAATGAAGCAAACAATGAAGCAAGTTTATCGAACATGGGGAATATTGTAAGTAAATAAATGATATTTTAGAGTAATACTTTCGTTCAACTTGAAATGTGCATACAAGAAAAGATATATATATATAGTAGGAAAAAGTGCTTTTCCTTCCCTTTTCTGGTTTTAGGATTAAATTATTTGTGTTGCAAATCGCTAGTGATTAAATCAAGGAAGATGAAGCAAATGAGATTTTAAAGGAAGTGAAAGGGCTTGCAATTTATAAGATGCATGCAGTGGAAGAAGTGAAGTCATAAATGCATGGGGAAATGCGACTTTAGGAATTGTTTCGTTTTCTTCGTTAGGAATTGAAGATTAATTAGGCTTTACATTTTCCATGATCTCCTTAATTATATTCTTCTCCTCTTTCACCTTTTTTCATTTGCCATGCACGAATGGATATATATATATATGCTGATATTTTCTTCGCATGCTAAGCCCCATTTGGCCATAAATTTTTTCAAGTTTTTTTTAAATATTTTTTTGGCAAAATATATTTGTTTATTAATTTTATATTCATGTTTTGGTAGATTTTGAAAGAAAAATTTTCAAATCCCAAAACTAGCTCTAGATCTGTTTTTGGCCCAAAATATCACTGTATGATTTTTTAACAATTTCAAATATTACCCCAAACTTTTATATTTTATAAAAAAAAAAGTTCACCATCTATTATGACCCAACTAACCACCATCTAATTACTATCATTTTTTTTGGACGGATGGATCTTATTATTGTAATTTGACGAATTATAATGGCTAGTAATTGTGTGATTAGCAGTTGATTTAAAATATCAGGTTATGGTTTTAGAATAGTGTATTACGTAGTTCATTATAAAAATGATAATTTTGTACCAAACTTATCTATGTTCAGGACTATGATTTGTGATAATCATAATGAACGGCATCGATGAAGGTACTGCATATACAGGATTAACAAGTTTATTTGTTTGGTATTATTGGGTATTTTTGATAGTTTTTAGAACTTATGGGTATAAGCCACATTTTATGTTTTTCAAAAAAAAAATGAAATATGTTTTGAAAAACTATGTCCAAACATATTTTCATCTTTAAATCAAACTTCACCCAAATCAGATTTTTTTAAAAAATTTGAAAATCTACAGCCAAAAGCTAGCTAAAACACATCGATAACTCGTTAAACTTTAACTACACCAGAATTCTTTTAGAAAAATGTATCTCTTTGTGTTCTAACCTTTCAACTTCTCTTTGGATTTATAAATGCTCAAATCATTCAAATTTCTATCATCTCTTCTATTTTACTAAAGTTGGTCCGTCCAATTGCATATGTAATCATAGATATCTTCTTCTCGCACCCGGTAAGGATGGCAATGGGACGGTGCGGGTGGAGGCGAGGCGAGGCGAGTTTAAACGTCGGCGGGGCGATGCGGGTTTAAAATTTTGCGATTGCAGGGCGGGGCAGGTTCAATTTTTAAATTAAAAGAAAATACGGGGCGGGACGGGTCGCAGGTGGGGATTTAATTTTAATAGGCTAAATAATATTTTTCGGTTTGAGAAGCAAACTAGTGGCAGTTTCCGTGTATTATCCTTTACCTTATTCGATAAAAGATTACCACCTTCACATTAATTTGATCAGATTCAATAATCAAGAGGAGAATTTATTCTTTATTATCTACTGTTGTAATTATCAAATGGTCATTTTTATTAAATGAAGTTTCAAATTTCACTTCACAAATTTCATATTTTGGTTTCACATATAGTGTTTTCACTAATTAGATTTTTTAATTTTTGTAATATAAGATACAACGAGTATTCTTTTTATTTAGAAGAAAGAAAAGAGTGAGTACCAATACAAATGGATAACACACTTTGGTTTTCTGAAACGGATAACACTTCATTGTTTGTTTATTACAGTCATGTCAGGACCAGGATTTTCCACCATCAGAAGTCGTGATGGCGCATACTCATGAAAGCTAGGCAAGCTGAGTATTATAGATTCATTACCCCTTTTTACTTAGCCTTTTTAACAGTTCAATATAACAGGTGATCAACAGCGGAAGAATTATAATAAACAAAAATGTGGAAGACGAAAACTAATAGTTTAACCATATGCTAGTGCAGAATCCAACATACAACTCTACCCAGAATTTGTTGTCATAATATCACAGACTATCTACGAATATTACAAACAGTGGTCTGAAAGTTAAATACAAAGTTGTCTCTGAAATACATAAAAGAAATAGAATAGAAAGGTAGAAGGAGACGCCAAGGTCTGCGGACGCCTGCAGGACTACCTCGGGTCTCCGCTATTGGACTGAAGGCAGCAACCTCACTGTGGTCCAAAAGCTGCAGCACTAGGATCTGCACACAGTGCAGAGTGTAGTATCAGCACAACTGACCCCATGTGCTGGTAAGTGTCTAACCTAACCTCGGTGAAGTAATGACGAGGCTACGACAAGACTACCAAATAAACTTGTGCAGTTATATCATATACAACAAGTAATAATGACAGAAACTAGCAGTTAAAGATGGAAAAGGGAAACATGCTCGGGGAAATATCATGTGCAAACCGAAATTCAGTAAAGAAACATACGGAACACCAAAATTCAACTATAAGCAAGAATAAGAAAACAAAGACAAATGCACGACATCAACCTTCGTGCTTTTACTCTCGTCCTCACCATAAGAAACAATATAATCGGCACGACATCACCCTTCGTGATTTACCTTACATAATCATGGCACGGCATTATCCTTCGTGCATTATCACTCATATTATGGCACTACATCACCCTTCGTGCATTAACACTCTCTCACCAACATCATGCACGGCATCACCCTTCGTGCTTTACACTCTTCCTTACCTAAGCAACAATCACAAAGCAATACGGGCAAGGAACTCAATAGAATCACAATAGAATCCCGGCAAGGGAACAATGATATATCAATAATATCCCGGCAAGGGAAACAATATCATGAGTAATAACATCCCGGCAAGGGAAACAATATCATGAGTAATAACATCTCGGCAAGGGAGATAATATCATAACAACAACATCCCGGCAAGGGAGACAATATCATAAACCTCTTCTCTTTTCCACAAATTACTTCACAACTTAATTCTCAACTTGAGCCAATGCTCTACAATGTTCAATTACCAAGAATACCTTCATAAGCCTTGTTCAACATTAGAAACCATCATATTAAGCATGGACAATACAAAACGGAGTCACATCAATCATAGTATAAGACTCACGGGCATGCTTACTCGTCACCACACCTATACGTCGTACTCAACAATTAACACATAGCAAATAAGACATAACTCCTAATCCCTCAAGCTAAGGTTAGACCAAACACTTACCTCAATGCCACGAACACAATTCAACCCTCAACTACCGATTTACCTCTTGATTCCACCATCAATTCGCTTGTATCTAGCCAAAATTTACTTTTATCTTTCCACAATTTACTTAACGATATCAATAAATGCTAAATGAATCAATTCTAATGCATGAAAATAGATTTTCTAATGATTTCCCCAAAAAGTCAAAAATCGACCCCGAGCCCACATGGTCAAAACCCGAGGCTCAAACCAAAACCCGATTACCCATTCACCCACGAACTCAAATATGTACTTTATTTTGAAATAGGACCTCAAATCGAGGCCCAAATCTCCAAAAATCGAAAATCCTAAGTTCTACCAAAAACATCCAATTTTCCCATGAAAATCCTTGATTTTGAATTGAAATCATGTGAAAAGACGTTATAGATTAACGAAAATGAGTTAGAAATGACTTACAATTGATTTGGAGAAGAACTTTTCTTTGGAAAATCGCCCAAGAGAGCTTAGGATTTGAGGGAGTTTGACAAATGAAGAAAATTTCGTCTAAGTTTGATTTTACACAGGCACAGATATCGCATTTGCGATGTCATGTTCGCAAATGCGAACTCGCAATTGCGGCCAAGGCTTCGCCCATAAATCTGTAGAAAAACTCTGACACGATGACTCATAGACTTGGCTCCACTCCGAATGAGGTGGATTCTTACCGATCCTTCGCTAAATGCAAATCTCGTCTAGTCTGAGGGCTCGACAAACTGATTGTCTATACCTGTCGGTATGAATGGAGTGTCCCCAACAAAAGGACGTCAATACGAATAATGTACCGAATATGTAAGGCGGACCTGAAACATAATAGTAAGTCAACATTAATTAAGGACATGGAAGAAACATGGAGTAGATAATTTAACCTATAAGTCTGGATAGCTCTGTAAATCATGAAATATTTATAATGTCATGTATATGCATGTAAATGTCATGTAATGTATAGGTCTACACGTACATAACTTCATCAAGCTTATGAGGGAATCCCATCATATCATCTCGGCCACTGTGGGCAAATCATCAACGTATAATCAGGTGGTGGTGTGTATATAACGCCGTAATCTTTTCCCATATCACATATACATATATACGCGTATACAACACCGTTTGAGTTATATTTCAGCCACTGTGAGCAACTTNTATATATATAATATACACATATAAATAGGCGTATATAACGCCATCTGATCATGAGTTAATGTACATGTATAAATGAATGAAATGCATGAAAATATGTTAATAATCTCAAGATACAATAAGCGGACAACTAAAGGAAATATCACAATCGTATGAAGAATTTGCAATATAATAGAAAATGTTTAACTATCTGACAACACAAAGGGAAACCAAATATGCTAGAAACATATCAATATCAGTAACTAAAATTAATTTGAAATCAAGACAACACAAATGCATCCGTGAAAGAATATTGGCTTGGGGCTCATGAACTATTCTTGATAGAAAGAAAAGTTGAATGGCAGATGTATTCACATAACAAATAAAGATTCTAAAATAGAATCATTCCCAATTTCAGATGGATTAGTAAAAATTTCAAAAAGTTGGATACTGAATCCTCCCAAAAACTACCCGGATCTGTCTCCTTCTTTATTTTCTTTTACGAGTAAATCAATTAAAATTAGTTAGAAGATGGAAGATGGCCTTCTTTCTTTCCTTCTATTCATCTTCTTCAGATATCTCTTCTGGTTTAACAAATTGACCTTTACTGTAAATTTGATTCGTCCTCTTCTTTGTATACCATTAATGGTTAATTATAGTTTTGCATAGAGAAAGGACATGAATGACTGGTTTGGCAGTCATGTGTTCTTTTCTCCTAGGATTTCATTTGTCTTTCATATTTTTTTATATAAAAGCTAGATAGCTCCCTGTAAAGGATCATGTTTTTTTTGTGTGTGAGATTCTCCACTTTCTTATACACCTTGTATGAGGGGATTTCTCATTAAATAAATAAAATTACCAATTTCATCAAAATAATAATAAACGCCAGGTAGCACTAAAAAAGGTGGAGCAGTGGTATTTTCTCACAAGGGAACTAGTTATATGATGTGGTTCAAGTTCAAATTTGGTGGGTTCATGGTAAGTGAATTCATTATTTGACATGCTCCATTTATATCATCAGCAAATAAACATACATATATAAAATTTAAATATAGAAACCCCCAGTATGCATTGATAACATCTTTGTAATATGTCACATGGGGAATCAAGAACATAGAGACCCCTAGTATTTCTATTAATAGAGTCGTTTATGAAAGCTGTGCGTTTACTCGTTTCTTTTATATCATTTGGATCACGCCAGAAGAAAGAAGAAATAACCTTAACATACCTAAGCCGATTCTCTTAACAATTCCTTCAGTGTTTTCAGTGTTGTGTTCAACGCAGTATCACACAGATGCAGTGAGTAACGTACGAGCGACAATAAACATTGGAATGGAAGGCAAGGAAGAAAAGAGAACATAATATTGACAGCTGACCCAACCTCACAATATTTGTGATACACCCGCGGATACATCGAAAATACTTCTGAAAAGTCCCCTCTTTGTAAAATTATCCGCTAGAGTGCAAGTCTTGTTTACGCCCAGATTGTATAAAATTAGAATCTTATCCCTTATCTCTTTTTTTGATAAGGCCCTTAATGTATTTCTCTAACTATTTGAATATGCAGAACCTTTTCCTCCCGCAAAACACCTTTAATCATATAATAATTTAAAAACCTCATATACAATTATGGGTGTTTAACGGGTGGGCCGGGCCGGGCTGGGTAGGGGAATTTAATACCCGTACGGGTTATGGTACGGGCCGGTTACGGGTTGG